CAGCAGACATTTCCGTGTCTCTGCTGCTGCTGATCTGACTCTTAGTTTGTCCTAAATGTCTGAGTCTGTCGGTATTTTCACCGAATAACTGAACCTGAGTTTAAATCTGACGACACAAGTTTAAATTTAAGGTTTAAAATAAAGCTGAAAGTCACTGACTGTTAGAACAGATCTGTCGTTCAGCCGCTCGGTCTAACTCCACACTTCAACGGTGTAACGTCTCGTACGGAAGTGACGTTGAAGTGACGTTGAAGTGACGTTGAAGTGACGTTTGATATCTTGGACCAATAAAATGTGAGTTTTCTAGAAATGATGTAATGTTTCAAATGTTACACGGTTAACATCCACTACAAATGAACTGAATCTTTTTACCTAAAAGACTTCAAATGATGTTAGAAAAAGACAGCAAACACTTACTGTTGTTCTTAAGAAATCTGTTAAACCCTCAAACACTCTTCTAATCATCAGGATGCAACAAAAATCCATATAAAGATAAAAAGCGTGAGGTTGGTATAATCCATCTGCTCTTTCTGTAGGTTAAAAGGAACCTGATTAAGGTTTGTTCAACACAAGCAATTGTGAACAAAATACTTTGTAGGTGAGCTCTACCACAAAGCTGAACCAACTGTCTCTTGTTTCGCTTTGACATCCTGTTTTACAGACACGTCTCAGATGTTTCTGCTTAGCAAAACCAAAACACCTACATTTGACCACATATGCAATGTGACAAAGGGTATTACAGTAACAGGAAATGAACACGAAAATAGGTCAAGGTGTAGAGACAACCTTCCACTCTTTCAGTAAATTCAAATAAACTTGTTCTAATGAATAAAGTCAAAGGTCCTTTAGAGCTGTTCTGAAGAACTTTGTCCACCTTTGACTGTATTTAAGTTGTGTTGGAGCCACAGAGAGCAAATCTTTGTTCTTTATGGAGAACCAGTGAGGCTGTTTGGACTTTCCTATGAAACATCAGAGCAGGAGTCTCTCAGTACATCTGTTTACAGTGAGGACAAAGAAGCAGCAGAAACAGAGAAAACATGCAGAGACAGGCAGCAGCAAATACTCTGCAGAGAGAGCGAGCATGCATCAGGTGCAGCACTTCCTGAAAATCAAGTGACTGCAATCACCTAAAAGGCCAGAAGCTCATTTTAAACACTCAATGTTGTTCTGAAGCATCTCTGAAACCTTCAAACACTCTTCTGATCATCAGGATGGAACAAAAATCCACTTAAAGATAAAAAAGTGATCTGTACATCCCATCTACGTTTCAGTAGATCAAAAGTAAATTACTGAAGTTTTATTCCACACAAGCAAAAAGCTTTTGAAAAATTAAATAGTTCAAAAATGTTTTTGAAGGAGTAACAAGTTCAAATCTGTGGGTAAGC